CCAAGAAGCCTTCCTGCTCCTCTGATGCTGCTTGGCCTGCTGTGTTCATCCAGCTCTACACCTTATCTCAGACTTTTTAAAAGTATTGCTTTAAGTTTGTTTCTGACCAAGCTTTTAGCTTAATAGTTCGCTATGTGACTTGGTGTTAAATTTTGTTTGAAATTACTGCTCTGAAGGGGTTTGGGATTTTTTTCCTATGTTTAAAGACCTATATAAATGTAGGTTATTGACTGTGACAAGGATTATATGTTATTTTTATAGTACAAACAGTAGGCCTTGGCATTTCATGTGAAGTGAAATTGTGAGAATCAAAAAGGTCAGGGAGTTCTGAAGTAAGCTGTAAATTTCAGTAGAAGATTTTGGTAAACATGCTGATACTTATTTTGCCAGAGTTGAGTTTGAGCATGAATGAGACTGAGTAACTTCCAGTCAACTGATCTTCTGGAACCTCTCCAGTCGTAATGAGACTTTAGGTCTAACTCTGTTGTCCTCAGGCACTCTTTATGCTTTAACCCAGTTTAAAAGGAACAATTTTTTTAATAGCTTTTTCAGTTGGTTGATTTTTGCAACTGTTGGCAGTGAATTTGATTTTGTTGCAGGATAAGCTGGCATCGAGTGGCCAAGTGGTAGCTTTGTTACTGAACCTATTTTAGTCATGTCAGTTGATGTTGCGAGGAGCCTTTCCAAAAATAACTTTCATTTATGTCACACCTTACAGTCCGTTTGGAGACCAATAACTAAAGGTGCCAAAGGAAGAAATCTATGCACAAAATTTCACTTTTATAACTAAAAATCAAACCAAAATCAACACAAATTGAACATGCAATAACAGACAAATTGCATTCAAAAGAAACTGAAGTACTCTACAGATTTCATTGATTTACTGGCAGTTTCCATGGTATGTATATGGCACCACATGTAGTTCCAAAGCTGAATTTTAACACTTCATTATGCACAATTTAGGCACTGAGTCACTGCCTCAGTGTAAAGCCACTATTCTGAGTCCCATGGATATAGCTAGCAATAAAAGAGCATGTTTCTGCAGAACTTCTAGTTAATGACATTTCAGGTGGTGTCGATTCTCCAGAGTTGCCTTCATCCAGCCAGTAAGTGAGAGCAAGGTATGTTGGTATGGTAAACTCTAGTGGAAATAACTTTGTTACTATCCCATTCTTCAAAACTAAAGCTTCAGGAGGTAGTGAAGTTGTCTGGCTTCATCAATTCATATGTTTTTAATGTAAGTATCCTTTGCCCACAGTATGCTGATCGATCCAACAAAAAGGATAGAATTCTCAAAACTTCAAAGGAAAACAAAAACTTGATCTTAGCTCTAATGATGGATTTTAACCTTAGAAACCTAGCACCCAATTAGGAGGTTCATCATTAGCATATTTGATTCAATCCTGACGGTAAACATACACTTTAAATGTTGTAATAGCAGATTCTTTCAAAGAAGACATATTCTATTAAGCCAACTGTTTGAAATGTGAAGGATAGGGCCAAAGAGTTAAAGAATAGGAGAAAAGATTGGTGCAGTGGTACTCTCCCTATCTGTGAGCCTTGAGACCTGGGTTCAGAAAAATTTGGGTGTGTTTGTACAAGGAATGCAGGAATCTAAAACATTGATGCAGCAAACTAGGAAGGTGAATGATAAGTTGACCTTTATTGCAACAGGATTGGAGTTGAGGAATAAATATGTTTTATATATTTAAATATATAATTGTACAGGATTTTGATGAGACTATATCTGGAGTGCTTTGTGCAGTTTGGTCTCCACAGTTAAGAAGACACGCACTTGTGACGGATTTGCTAAATTAGTCCCTGTGGTGAGCAGGTTAGGGTGGTGTGCAGGAGAATGCATCCAGGAGCACTGTGACCTGGCAGACCTTTCACAATTCCTACTGTCAGTGGCAAGGAACAATGTGTGAATTTCCATTGTATGAGATGGAGTTACTCAGCCTCAACATGCTGCAGTGTACCAAAGCCAAAAGATCAATGTGTGTTGTTCTACAGTGGGGCAGTCTCAGACTGTCTTTGAATGACAGATCTCTATTCAAAGAGCCTGTAGCACCCCACACCAATCTACTCTTTACAGAGAGTTACTCATTGGAATTCATTACCCCAACAAGTTGTGGAAGTTGGATATTCAAGACCAAAGTTAAACAGATTTGGATCTAAAGGTGAGATTTAAGGGTTATGGGGCAGGAAGAAAAGTATGTCATTATAAAATGGATGATAGATATTTTCTAATCAACTTGAACTCTGGCCCTGAGGTGGGGACATTACTGTTGCACCATATGAGCCTGTTTGTCCTTGGATTGTAGGGTTGCTGATGTGTTGCCTCAGAAGTGTCACTGATGGTATTCCATGACCTTTTTCAAGATAACCGTACTCATTCCCAGCACTGTTAGTCTACCCTTACCACTGCATCTTAGCCAGCTAATCCTGGTCAGGCTAATGTAGTGCAATCTGAAGCCAGGCCTTCATCATGCTTTTCTGTCCAGGATTTTTAGCATGAAGGTCCATAGCAGAAGAGTGGAAAACTGAGTGACAGAAACTGAATATTGGCCAGTAAGGTTCAATGTATAGCATGGTAGGAAAAAAAGCTAAATGATGTTTCTCTGAATGTATAAAGCATTCACAGTAGGAGAGATGAACTAGTGGCTCAACAGAGGCAAAATGGATTTAATTGCTATTACAAAGACATGGTTACAAGGTGGCTAAGGTAAGGAACTAAGCTCCAGTGTATCCATTTTTG